AGTAACCTTTCAGCCATAGGCTCAGAACACTGTCTGTGTGAAGTTTGTATGTCCTCTCTGTGTTCATATGGGTTTCCTTCAGGTGCACCGGTTTCCTCCCACATTCCAAAGACATACTGGTAGCTTTGGCCCTTGTATGAGTGTGTGCATGATTGCGTCTGTGTTTTTCCTGCGATGGACTGGCGTCCTGTCCAGGGTGTATCCTGCCTTGCCTGTTGCTTAGCAAGATAGGCTCTAGTGCAACCCGGTATCATCAATTTCCCTACGGGATTAATAAAGTATTATCTATCTATCTATCAGGTAAAGCAGTTAGAAAATGAATGGATGGACTTACTGTACACAGTAATATTGAGGGTGTTGCTGCACTCTCCTGATTCAGATTCACACCAGTACTTTCCACTGTGGGACACAGAGGGGGATATGAAAGAGCACTTCTGAATATTTTCCAAGCTGTATGCAGTACAAGCCGTTTCTACTTTTCCATCTTTTTTTCGTTTTATTGTCCATTTTGCTGGATCCCTCTGCACGACACATTTCAGGAAAAATGTCTCTTCAGTAAAAAACTGTGTCCAGCCAGTCTCTGTGGTCAGTATAGTCCTCTGAGCATCTGAAAGAGATAACACAAAACTAACACCTGCATCAAGATTCACAGCTTCTTAAAAATCTTAAAGGTGTCATCCTTGCGGCTGCAGGGGTATTGCAGAGTAAGCTAACATTACTATGGCAACATATAGAATCTTTACTCAACTGTCAGTTTGCTGGCTGTCATGATAACACAATCACACAGGAAGTCTGTTCCACCTGTGCTCTGCTGTGTCTACATCTGCACTATTAGGGATCATGCCATTTAAAATCTGTCTTGTCTTTACTCAGGGCTCTGTTATATAGTTTGCTCTGAGCCTTAGTTTAGTTCCCTAGATCTTGTGTTCCTTACTTTTGCTTCACCTTGAATTCTTTATCCTTGCTTTACTCAGACTTTGGTCTCCTGGATTTGCTCCTTTGTGTTGTGGAC